GGCATGAGCGCATAAAAACTAGGGATAACCAGAAAGTTGGTGAAATCCAAGTAAAGGCGTTGTACTTTGATGGCAAAAAAGACCGAACACTCAAATTTGAAAGTAATAAGAGAACCATAGTGATGGAGGAGCACGTATCCTTGATTCAGGAACCTGACAGAGGTTACTTGGGACACTGCACTCCTCTTAGCGGAACAGCTGAATCACTAAAATTTGCAATTATACAGTGTTCTAAAGAGTACAATATAATTTTGGATAATTTGCAAGTCCTGGGCTGTAATGGAACAAATGTAAACACAGGAAACAAGGGTGGTGTTATCAGATTGATTGAGTCAGAACTTTAACGGCCTCTACAATAAGTAATTTGTTTGCTACATGCAAACGAGCTTCCACTAGGCCATTTGTTTGGAGAGTTGGATGGTCCAACATCTGGTCTGAGATGCTATTCAGACCTAATTGGAAAGTCCCTTGAAACTTGTGAGGTCTTAAAAATTGTTGATTTTTAACCTATAAACCATAATGTAGAATTGCCAGAGACGGATAGAAAAGTGCCAGTACAGATCAACTTTATCTTTTTGACATCTGCCAAGCAGTGTTAAGTGGTATTTGTTCTACCAACCTAGAGAAGCACAGCCCTGGGAAACTGGCTCATTCTAGGTGGCTCACCACTGCCAATAGGATCCTCAGAATAAATGTTTCTACCAGCAGTCCTTCGTCAAATTTGGTAAATTTATCAATGATCATTATGCAAATTTATGTCCCTATGTGGTTCATCATTAAGAAAGAGTATTCTATCTTTCATGGCAGCAGGCATCTGTACAGCACAATTGCAAAATCACGATATCTGCCAGCTTCATTATGTAAAAAAGTAGACAAAGTAATTCAAACAAATGCATTGTTTTTTCATCAAGAGAATATTCTTCTGGCAATGGTATCAGATGATCAGCCACATATCCGAGAATTAGGTGTTAAGCGTATACAGAGAGCTAGAAAAGAAGAAGTTATGAAAGCTAACCAATCAAGTGTGCGTCAGTTCAAAGTTCCTACTCTGAATTTCATGGCAAATAATATGTGGGAGTTGATTGATTGGAGTGATTTGGAGCTTATGGAGCCACCATAAACGATGCAGCTCATTAACGAGCAGCTGGAGGAGGTAAAAGAGCATTGCATTCTAATATCTGACCTTATGGATAAGTTCTTGTGCTACACGCAAGCAATGGAACACAGTGTAAAGATGGTGACAGAAGTTTCAGCATCGGTTTGTGGCGAGATAAATTGAGATGGTATGATACATCCGTCTACAATCTAGGAAGAATATGTCAATAATTAATACCAAAGCACATTATAACGCTAATTAGTACAATTTTTCTCTATAAATGTAAATATTTTCTATTATATGCACCTCTTCAATTCTAAAACTCTTTAAAATACCTGTTTATAAATTAATATAAATCCATTTGAAAGAAATGATACTAATAATCATTATTTAAATTAATAAATATTAAATCAGCGGCGGATCTAGCGTTTTTTGCTGTCAGAGATAGCTAACTTCCAGATATGGAGCAAACTTTAAACATTCATATTTATACTTACATCAAATAAGAATGCTTTGCAAAAAATTGTAATGATTGGGGCCCGGGAACAAAAATGCCTCAAACAAAATATCCCTTACCCCAAATTTGAGGGCAACTAGTTTGCAACATATTTTTACTTTTCTCAACTTGATTAGAATTCATCAAAAAATTTCAAATTTCATGAATTAATCTCTTATTGCTCAAAAATTAATTATAAAATTTGCAAAATATTTTTAGAACCCTTCCCCTTATTGCTTCCTTCTGCCAACCCTTAATTTATCTATTATTTTTAATAAATTTTTTAATCAAATTTTGATATTAAATTTAAAATGACAAGGAAAATGTATTTTAGGAAAATATCAAACAATAGCTACAAATATTTTTAATAGTTTAAAATATACTATTATAGTTGTCTTAACTAAACATCTTATATCTCAAACATAAATTAAAGAAAAAATGAAAAAAATATTAAAAAAAAGAGATTAAAAGGACATTCATGAGAAAATTTTAGGAATTGATATATATACAAGTTTTTAATCTTAACCAACTGATATCCAATTCATAACCTTTATACTCTCAATGAGCTGTATGTTTCAGCCATTCTTCTCAGTTTTATTCCATGAGAAGGATTACTTTCCGAGACACTAAACCTCTTAATAGTCTTATTAATGTTCTTGTGAACAGCTTCTAAGGTTTGTTTTGATGTCTGACCTAGAGACATATGATGGCGTTCCAAATAATCTTTCAAGTGATATTTAATGATATGATATTTCCATACCAGTGACATACTGATGTTAAACCTTTCTTCAATATAAATGTTCATGTAGTCCATGGAATCGATGAAAGCTTTAATTTTATAACCATAAGACGGATCTAATGTCATTCCAAAACAACTCTCAGTCACTACAAATAAAATGATACAACTTATTAATATCTTCAACTATGTTAATAGAATTTTTTAAATAATATTTACCTGCTTTAAATTTTCTAAGTATGTTAATACACTCGTGGTATTTCAGTGGCGCTACAGTAATCATCTCATCTAATTACCTTAGAACTTTTTGACAATTAGATCCATCTAGTCCTCCACCATTGTAGCCATGCTGAGGTATAACATCCAATACCAGGCTGTCCGGCTCTCATCAAAAAGACATGGGTTGATGACATTAAAAAAGGTCTGCATCAACTTGTGTGGTTTTCCTTCATCAACAAATCGCTGATAGTGATGGGATAAACTAACAAAGGTTCTTAACTCTCCTAATTTGTCTTTTGTAGCAATACCATAAGCACATGCATAATTCCCACCATGGGCAGATAATCCTAGCAGATAATAAGACTAAACATAAACTTAAGATCTGATGCAAGAAAGTACTTCCATTCATGAAGTTTGAGAAGGTGGACAATTCGGGCTAAATTGTAATTGCTTTCTTCAACATGTCGGACAATTTCCAATAAAATAACTTTGTTTACACCCGAGTCTTTTTGGTTCCTTAATTAGTCCTCAAGTTTTTCTGATTAAAAAAGGTTCATAACAACTTTAATTGACCCTTGGCCACCATCGATACCAATCCTCACAATTGATTCTTGGAGAACAATATCTCTTTGTTTGCATATTTCATCAACAAGCATAGGTATACTTTCCACATATACTAAATCTTTTTGAACCTCTGTATGGTTAGTACCTTGCTGAAATGTTGATTGCTGAATGCAATAAAACTGATTAATTGAATGGGACTTTTTATTCACTCCAATCTCCACATTGGTTTCAAATCCTGATCGATCAACATCTTTTCTTATTTCAGTCAACATACTTTTAATAACACATTCAGGCAAATCGTGTAATTTTTTAATATTAAATACTGTGTCTAAACTAATCTTTTTTGGAGAGATAATCTCTCGAAGGTGTACATGTAATGATGTTCCGCATGTTGATAGTTTAACCTTACCCTGTTTTTCATCCCCAATAATTGTTTTTAGAATTTTTGATGTTACACATTCAGACAATTTAAGATTTTTTGACATGATAATTTTTTCTAAGTTTTTAGCAGTTGATTTTTTATTGCAGGGGTTTCTAATATCTCTTCCTATATATCGAAAACAATCTCCACACATTGAGGCATCAGTGTAAGAACTTGAATTTGGACTACTTTTTTTTTCCTGTGGTGAGATGGGGTCAATGAACTCCCTTAAGTTCATCTCTATGTTACTTCTAGTGTCCCTTGCCAAACTACAGATTAGACATTGACATAGATTAGACACCACTTGTATTCTGCTAAGCATGGAAATAGTAACTCTTTCTCTTTACCAGAAGATTTCTGCACTTTTAACACTTTTTTCTTTCTGTAAAAAATTTTTATATATCTTGAATTTAAGAAACTAAAACTATTTTTATAAAAAGTGACAGATTTAAAATGACAAAAAAAACACAAAAGAAGATAAATACATCTTTCTTATAAACTGCAGTCTTGCACTTCGGACACATTCCAGTAGAAAAGGAGTTCACTTTAACATCAAAACCTTTATCTATATGCTTCCTTACTAGATTTAAATCAACTTGAGCTGGATTTTGTAGGAGTATACATTGTTTGTTCTTGTTGCAACATCCAAAACAAATTATACCTTTGTTCTCCTGATGATTTTTTTTTTCTGATTCATTTTCTGTTTTTTTAATTTAAGTTTTTCTTGCTAAAATACATGATACACTTTACACACAGATTTTAATTTTTAAATATATAAGATTACATATATGTAAATATATATAACATTTAATTCTAAAAAATAAATGTACTCTTGTTATATTTTAAAATTTATTAGATTATCTGTAGTGCCATAGACAACAAAGTTTCGGTACATAATTATTTACCAATAAAAAAACAAAAAAACAGAAATTTAATTTTAGGAGCGGGTACAATTTTAATTTTTGGCTGATCATATTTAAGTATGACTTTCTGATATTTCTGCCAAAAAAAATTGGTACCTTCATCTTCAACCTAAACCCTCTATCTGGGAGCAGTGTATATAAATATATATATAAATATATATATATATATATACATATACATATATATATATATATATATATATATATATATATATATATATATATATATATATATATATATATATATATATATATAAAATGATATCTTGAAAAAAAATTCCAAACATTACAAAAATATTAAAAAGTTAAACGTTAAAAGTAAAACATCACTTAAAAAAGAGAAACAAAGATATTACAAAATTTATATTTAAAAAAAGTTTATAACCTGTTAATGAACTATTTTGAATGAATTGAATTTTTTTTAATGAATCAAATTTGTATTACCATTTAGAAACAATAATTTCTGTGAAAATTTTGAAAAATAATAAAGTGAGTTTATGATTGGTAATTGGCTGGAAAGTTTTATTTCCAGGGTGTCGCACTTAACGATTTTGTAAATGCTAAATGTTCAGTAAAAAAATTCAAACTCTATTTGTATTAAGTTAGTAACAAATCAAATTATAGAATGTTTAGAAACATGAGATAATATCCCTGATATGTATAGTACAAATATTATCGAAATATTGAAAATGATGCATTCTTAGATGAAGGAATAGAAAAAGTATATGACTTTTAAAAAACAGTTGCAACATACTAGTTTCACCAGAAGCATAAATGATGTTTTGGATGCTTGGCATAGCTTAGTAAATTACAATGTAAATTACTTAGTAACACATAATACCGGTTACCGGAAATTTTGACACCAAATATTCTCCAGCTCGATAAAAAATAAATGAATTCCAGTTCTACTTCCTGTTGAACTACTATTTACTTTGCCTGCATCTGATGCAAAAGTTGAACACCTTTTTTCAATAATGAATAGAGTGAAAATGGGCAAATGCATCTCTCTGAAAGAGAAATGTTTGCAAAATTTAACTTGAGTAAGTTTGCAAGGAAAAGAGGCCAACGTATTTGATTCAAGTCCTGCTATAGAGTTATAGGCAAATGATGTAGTGTGAAGGCCAACACAAACAGAAAAAAAAAAAAAAAGGGCAAAAAAAAAAACTCGAAAAAGGGCAAAAAAAAAAACTGGTTTAAAAACATTAGTTGATTTGGATTCGCCATTTGACAAATCAAATAACAAATAGTTCAAAACCTTTTTCTTTGGTTTTTTAAATAAATTTTGTTTGGTTTTTTAAATAAATATTCTTGCATTAAAGTTTTAATCAATGTTCTCTTAAATATTTCTTGTATCGTTTTTGTAAAAAAAACTATAACATCTTTTTTGGTAACCCAAACCCTAAAAGTTCAGTCATTAATATTTGAATAGCTTTTTCATCGCGTAGAATGCGAAAGAAAAAAACATTTTAAAAATTAAACTATGAATGAATGAGCATGATACTTTGATATGATTTGCGCGTTTTTGTTGATTTTAAATAATGATTTTACTAAACAATTGTTTACAATGTTGCAAACAGTAGTTTAGTTTAAATTATAGTTTTAACTAAATGAATATAAAAAATACATCTAATATTATAAATATAAAAAATATATTTATATTATAAATATAAAAAATATATTTAATAAATATAAAAAATATATTTATAATATAAATATAAAAAAAATTTTTATATTATAAATATAAAAATATATTTTGTAATATAAATATAAAAATAAAATTATAAATGGACAAGATATTCATAACAAAAATCTAAAAGTTAATGACAAACTAATAATGCGCTTAAAAATATCTTAAGGTGATTAGAAAATAAAGTTTTTTTAATGTTTTGAATGAATGACTTTGCATAATCGAATGACAAATCAAAAGTTGACTTAATAAATTTAATTAATTTCTTATTTGTTAATTTTTTATAAGTTAGGATAAGCAAGACAACTTATTACAAATTTTTTTCATACTTAAGCCATGACAGGGATGTTGTCTGAAACACAGGCTGTAAAAGAGTTTAATTGAGATGAGATTTTAGCAACCGAAGCTGAAATGATTTAACTTGTTTAATTGGAATGAAAAGAAGACATTAGATTCAAGAGTCAAATTAGAAGAAAAACTATTTGCAAAATTTGCAAATAGTTTTTTTTCCTAGGCAGGAAACAATGTAACTGGTTTACATCTTTGCCAGCCTAATGATGAAAAAGGGTTTCGAGGCTAGTTAGCAGAATTATTCTGCCTCCCCATTAAGTCTATGCCTAGGAACCCTTTTACAAGATAGTAGCTGGATGCAGTTAACATCTTCCCAAGATGAGTATTTTTATCAAGACACTATCTCTAGCCTTTTCTCAAGCAAGAGCTCCAAGGCAGTTGCTTTAGGAGATACAAACTCCGACATTTTTAAGTCAGAGTTTGTTTCTCCTAGTCTTTACCTAAAAAAGCACACCCAACAATGCAATAAGGCATTGAGCAGGAAGCACTGAGTTGCATGATACAAGTAGCAGGGTGGTTGTGATGATCCTGACCTAACCTGGTAATGTTAATTTTATAAGTAATAAATAAAGTAAATAAAATGTAAACAGATTGTGTAAATATTAATTTTAATAAAATAATAATTTTTCAATGTTTTTAACATTCAGCACTGTTAGCAAAGTAAATTAAGTAAACATAGTAAATAAACTGAAATGATTTTTTTTGTTTGTATAGTAAAAAAAACCAACCTGTTAGTATGATTTGAGGAAATTCAAATTTTCGAACATCAGACAGAATTAGTGCACGTTGCTTATCTGTTTGCTCATTGTCAATTATTTCTGAAAATTAAAAAAAACACCTTTTATAAATACCTTTTTTATTTACCTCAACATTAAATCTCAGTGTTAAGTATTAAGTATTAAGTTTAAATCTAAGTTTATATTAGTATAAAGTTTAAATCTAAGTTTATATTAGTATAAAGTTTAAATCTAAGTTTAAATCTTTTTTATGAAAAATAATATATTATTAAATATATATATTAATTTTTCTTATCTTATTTATAAACATTTTATTATTTCAAGACATGTTTCGACTAAATGTATTTAAAATGTGTACTTTTACTTTTGCTTAAGTATATTTTTTTTAAACATACTTTGCTGCATTTAAAATCATATATGTTAATCGTATACATATGAGTTATTGCATATTTAGTATTTACTTATTGTATATTAGAAAGAAAATTTCTCAGAAAGTATGAATTAATTTTTTTAGTTGATAAAAATTATCGCCTATTTTATAAAATTGTAAACATATATTTTTTATTGATGTTTTAAGTAAAGTTACTTAGGCATTAAAAATGTGCCTCACTTACATTTCAAACTTTATTCTTTCTTTCAGAGTTTTAAAAGAAAATTTAAAAAGAACTAAAAAAAAAAAGTTTAAAACAAAGATTTACTAATGTTTACATTTTACACAAAGTACTATGAAAAAACATGAAAACTAACTTGCTATTTTTAATTAATTACATATCCTAATTACACAATTATTGGCTTTATTTTGAAGACTTTTCCCATATAGGCATAGCACACATACTTTCACAAAATATAATGAGAAATTTCCTAATTCTTAGTTTTTACAAACACAAAGAAGAAAAAAATGCTTTAACTGATAAAAATGAGATTTAAATAATGACAAATTTTAACATTATATTAAAAATTATATTAAAAACATACACACTTAAAAATATTACTTAAATATAATAATTGTAAATGTATATTGAAAAGAATAGACACAATTTTTATTTAATTTTTCCAATTAAATGAAAATATTTAAAGAGACAATGTTAAAGACATGAATAAAAATTTTAGGAAGATTATGTAATATTTAATATATTAAACACTTTGATCACTTTTATAAAAATATGAAACTTTAAATATTTATGATATTAATTGGCAAATCAAATTTATATGATGCAACTGCTTCTTTTGTTTTCTTGGCAATGACTTTTCTATGATACTCGGTTATCCTCAACTAGAATTGTATTTGTAGTTTACTTATATTAAAAAATTTGTAGTTTACCTATATAAAAAAGTTTCACCAATTTGTTAAATTTTTTATTAGAGTTGCTTTCTTTCTGCAGTTCCATTGACTACTTTAAAAGAGCATTCACAATACCTTTATTTCTTCATATAGTTTGTCAGATTTTTTTGATGCATCTGATGATCAGAAACTTATTACTTTTAGTACTTTTTCCCTTTTTATTCTGGTACACACCGCTTGGATGCATTAGAAGCAGTAGTATCAAAATACATACCATTATAAAATACATTACATACTATTGTAATAACTTACTAGCCCAATGAAAGACCAAATTGAGAGGATTTTTTAGAAGATACTCTTAAATATTAATAGCTAGTTTACCCAACCAAATACTTCATTTAGTTTCAATATTATAAAGCTTAATTATTAACTTGCAAAAAAAGAAACTTACGTGAGAATAATGGAAAGTAAACATACTAATTCGAAGAACATTAAATTATAAATTTTATTAATTTGAGATAAAAGTGATCAATGTGTGCAGTTTCTAAATATTGTCCAATCAGAATAAAATTTTGCATATATAAATTTTGCATATATATCTACCACTAAGATTCAAGGCGAGCAAAGTTAAGTATAGAGAAAATAAAAAGAATATTCAATAATACTTTTTAAGTCAAGCAGTAGAATAGGAATAGCAAAATCTTCAGCATCTGCAATTGCACTAGCCAAGTGCACTAAGTCACTGTTTGTAGGAATGACCTCCAGCTTTATTATGTTCTATTTTCTAAGTAATAAAAAACCTGAAAAAATTTGTAAATATTAGTTAATATGAATTTATAGGAGAATAATAGTAAACATAACAAACTCTTTTGCAATAAATTGAAATTTCCCAGAATGACAAATCTTACAAATCTTAATAAGATTACTTATTAAGAACCTTAGTAAGATTAGTAAGGCTTGCAAGACATGTAAGAAAACTAATAAGATCTTATTAAGATTTCTAAGTTTACATACAATTTCTTAGTCAGATTTGTAAGAAATGTAAGATCTTAATAAGATTTGTAAATTATATCATAATTTCTTAGTTAGATTTTCAAGTTATAATACAAATTCTTAGTAAGATTTGTAAGATCTTATAAGATTATTTTGTAATTATTCCGACCATACTAAATTCCACTCATATTTTTGTGTAGAGGTAGAATCGCAAATATATGAGTGGAATTTAGTAGGGTTGGAATAACTACAAAATAATCTTATAAAATTTTTTGAATGTATGGTCATTTAAAATCATATGGAAGTCTAGCATAAGTAATTTGCTGTGTTATATATTATAGGTATAACATATAATGTTGAGATGAAGACTATCATTTTATTAGTTAAAAAACTTTTTCAAGAAGATATTATAAGAAGTACTTAATTGTTTTATTTATTAACATATACTAACAAGTAAAATAATTTAGTACTTTAATTAATTTGTTCTCGAAAAAAATTTATTATTAAAAATATAACAGCGCTTATCTTAACAGTTTATGTAATACATATAATATATAATGCAACAAACTACTTATCCAAGACTTCCATACTGCAACTCTAATTAAAAATTATAAAAAAATAAAGTATTACAGATTAGATAGAATAATAGTCATAACAATTTTATAAGCCAAATTTTTTTTCTGTTGTCTACAAATAAAATAAAAATACAAATACAAGTCAACTTAGATTAGATTGATGCTCAGCAAGTGATAAAACAATACAATATAAAACTGCGTACAGTTTAACTTTTTAAATATTTCCATTTTATATCAAGTTCCATTTGATTGATCTCGTTTACAGCTGTGCCAACAAAGTACTTTAGAATGGCTTCTTTAATTTTTCTAATGCACAAAATTATTTAGGGTATTTTTCTTTAGCGTTTTCACCAGAATAACTTATTTTTGGATCATCTTGGTAAAACTTTAAATTTTCTACAACGAGATATTTTATGCAAAATTAATATTGCTTTATGACAATTCGTAAGCAACAATGATGCATAGATCAACACCTTTCTAAATCTATAATTTAAGAAAGAAAAATGATTATATATATATATATTTTTTTTTTTTTATTTTACTTCACCTCCTCAAGGCCGAGAAGGCCACTACAGACGAGGAGGCTACTTATTTTGTGGCTATAACCCTCTCTCAACTCTATAACTCCGAAACACGAACCTTGACAAACAAGGCCGCTGCGCGGAGAAACGAGTTTTATTTAACTTTTTATTTTGCTATTAATAACTACTCAAGACTAAGATTAATACTTGAAAGTAAAACTCATTGTTGAAGACAGTTTCACAAATTTCAAAAACTATTAGACACAACTGAGGTGTTTAAATATAATTATCAATTAACTCATTGTTGAAGACTGTACATGAAAAAACAGTTTCACAAATTTCAAAAACTATTAGACACAACTGAGGTGTTTAAATATAATTATCAATTAACTCATTGTTGAAGACTGTACATGAAAAAACAGTTTCACAAATTTCAAAAACTATTAGACACAACTGAGGTGTTTAAATATAATTATCAATACAGAAATCAATTAAGAGTCATATATAACATATTTAAGACTAAAGTAATCAAAAACAAAATGCAATTTTTATTAAAATTAATAACATAAACAAATGTGGGCTCTGTAGTCTTCAAATAAATATAATATTTATTAACTTACAACTATTTCTATACTTCTTCATATGTTCAAGGGTATAGAAGATGTTGTTTTTCTTAATCAAATAGATTAAGTACAATTACTTCTACATAATCTTTATACATAATCTAAAAATAAAATATTGCATATTTATTTCTAATATGGAAAATAATTATTTTAAATTGATTGTAGTTGCACAGTTGTAAAGGTATGGGTAATGTAATTTTTCTTGTACAACTAAAATTTAATATAATAAGTAAATCTTAACCTTAGTCTGCAAAATATTAAAAGCATATTATAGATATTATTTTAAAATATTAAAAACAACCATTTTAAATCTTACACTTTTTTTCCATATTACTTTTGCTAGCTCCTCCGAAAGATTCGCTTTAATTATATTATTTTGCCACATTTAACAATTATTTTTGTTTTCACAACCATTACAAAGTTTTGGTTCTGTGTTCATTGTGTTTGTCATATTCTGAAAACGCATCAAATTTAACTGAAAATTGTATTATATTAGAACAAGTATATAACATAAGGACAAATAATTTTTTTTTTTAATACCCAATATTTTTTAAAAATTTATAGTTTTAATATTATTAAATCTCCAGAAATTGTTCATTGCTCATAATTGCTCATAAGGAAAAATTATCTTACTTCACATTCCATAATAAACAGTTTCAGGAGAACTCTTGGTGTTGGTGTTGTCCAATTTATGCCTCTAAATTGTTAGTGGCTTGTTGCAGCTGCTTGTCATCATTTGAATCTACATATATATTTAACTAAATACATGATAATATTACATAAATTTAAAATTATAGGCTAATATTTTTAATATATTTAATAACATTCAATTTAGCTAAATAACTCTCAATAATAACAAATAATTAATAACAAATAAACTCAAATAATTAATAACAAATAATTTCAATATTTAAAAATAAATGTAATACAAAAAACATTTTTAGAAGATTTTTTTAAACTACATTCATATTACTTTAAAAATTGCAACATTTGATTTCTTTTTTGTTGATCAAGAAAAATTTATTTTTTGCATACTACAAAAACACATATATAAAAATATACAACATTTCCTCATGTAGTTTGTCAACTAAATTTTTTTTTAACTATCATTGTAAGTTTATATTGTATGTGCGTTTATACACATGTCGAAATTTAGCAATAATAAAAAATAAACAACATAAATTTGTATAAATGTTATCTTTACTTTATTATAAACAGTTTGGCAGTTAATTTATGCAAAAAAAATACATAGAATTCAAATATTTAAAGTCAAAAAAAGTAAAGAAGAGATTAAGATAAATCTTCACGTAACTTTACATTATGTTGTTGATTGAACAATTTCAAACACAACAGGTTTTTAGCATTTTTATTATCAATTCTTTACAACTTCTTGGTTCTTTTATATTTATCTCATAACTCTTTTATAACCACTTCTTCATGTGATACAACCTTTCTTAACACTTTTATAACCACTTGTTTATGCGATACAATCTTTTTAGCTCTCGTACAGCTAACTTGTTATTTTCTCGCATGACCTAACTGAACAAAAACCTATTGCAAATCAATTTTTAATTCCAAAAAAAAAGAAACCGTAATAATGTTGTGATAATGCATGACCTAAATTTTAGTACATATTTCTTCACTGAAATAAAAATTACATCATCTTTTTAGCACATCTTCGTAATGATTTCCTTATAACATTCTTAATTATCAAAAATACTTTTCAGGATTTTCTCTTATTTTTTGCAATGTTATCACCTCATTCAACATAACTGCTGATGCAATTGTTTTTGTTTGACATCAGAGTGACTTAATGGATAAAATCTTAGCAAGATCATTATAAGATTTGTAGTTTTTTTTCTAATTTATTTCTTAACAAGATCTTAATAAGATCTTAACAAGTTATTCAAAGAAACACTTCTGACAAAACATATTAAGATACTAAAGAAGTTCTTACTAATTTATGTATGATAAGAAAGATCTTACAGATCTTAATAAGATTTGCAAGATTCGTCGCTCTGGGTTGCACAGAAGCTTTTTTTTCTTTCTTTCTATAATCCTGGATGTATAGACAAAAGGTGTAATCAAAATTATTCCTTCATAATTATAAAATTATAACATTATAAAAGATATAACAATATAAGTCACAACAAAAAAATCTATTACAGTTAATTTTTTATGACTATTAGAGTTAATTTTTTTTTTTTTTTAAACATCTTCGCTTTCAACAAGGCTGAAAGTAACCACTAATTAGTAATGGAAGTTATTGGAAGTGAAAAGATGAAGATTGTAGAGCAAGATAACGATTGACAGACAACTTAAAAGATTGCAACCTATATGAATTAGGAAAGCAAGATAAAGAAAGCGAATTCTAAAAAACTGACGTTCTAGGAAAAAAAACTAGAAGAATTAGAGTTTTTAGAGCACTTAGAAACAGTCACAGAAAAAGGATGAGACTTAATTGAATGACGAGTAACACAAGAATGAATTTTAGTAGATGGCACAAGAGACGCATGCTCTTTAGAGCAGTGCCCATTTTAGTAATTGTAGAAAAGAGAAAGAGAAGCAACATTACAGCAATATGATAATGGTTGGAGGTTGGCTGCAAGGGCAGGTCCAACTATATTTATAATGCATTTTTGCACTTTGTCTAAAAGAGGAAGGGCATCATTAGAAGATCCGCCCCAGATATGGCAACAGTATTCCATACAAGGACGAATTTGAGATTTATAGTGATGGCCTTAACCTCTCAACCTTTATCTAATGCTTGATAAAACCTATCGGTTATTACTGTTAGCAAATCAGCCATTGAACGAGAAGATCGAAATCCATATTGATGATCAGAAAGCAAGTTATTAGATTCAAGATGTGAGATTAAGTGTTTGTAAATTAAAGATTCAAAATCCTTGCTTATGATAGGAAGAAGACTAATGGGACGGTAAATAGACAAATCAGATCGCTCTCTAAAATTTTTAAAAATAGGGATAACAGATATTGCTAAACAAACATTATTCTATTTCTCAATAACAATTATTTAATCTTAATTCAATTTTACTTAATCTACAAAAACACAATTTCACAGTCAGATTTTTATTTAATTTTTATTGTTTTTATTAATTTAACTTTTAGATAAGAACTTAGAACCTTCATCGTAAAAATTATTTAAAAACTCAGTTATATAAAAAGTTTTATTAGGTATAAAAAAAAAAGCATTTAGAAAACAAAAAGAATATTATTGCCATTCAATATTTAAATTAAATTTAAAATTCTAAAACAAACATTTAAAATAAATATTTCTACATATTTTAAAATATATCATAGATATTTAGACTTATTGTACACCTGATTATTAAAAAAATTTATATATATTATATTAAAAAGTATAATAGTGAAATATACAAATACAGTGAAATATACAAATACTGTGAAATATACAAATAACTTTAAAAATACACAAATACAGTGAATTATAAAAATGTTGTGAATTATACAAACGCAGTTAAAAATACATAAGCAGTGAAACTAAAAAAATGCAGCAAAATATCAAACATTGTAAAATATATAAATGCTTTTTTTTTTTGAAATTGAAGTATATAAGCCAATTATATATTTCAAAACAAAAGCAATCAAATAAGTTAACAAAACTAACTGACTGACTGTTAAAACTAAAAAACTTATTTCTTTTTATCTTATGGTTATTTGTCTTTATTTGATAAGTATTGCTTATAACCATGACATGCTTTTTCCATATCTGATAGAAATGAAGGAACACCTTTCTAAAAAAAATTCAAAAAACAAATCTTTAAATTCTGTTATATAAATAACATCATATAAAAAAAAATTCCTTTAGACATTATTAAAGTTAAAATAGACATTTTTTTTTTAAAAAATTGTATTCTTAATTTATTTTTTTTTAACATCTTTGCTTCCAACAAGGCTGCAAGCAACCACTAATTAGTGTTGGAAGTTACTGGAAGAGAAAAGGTGAAGATTGTAGAGCAAGAAAACGATTGACAGACGACTTAAAAGATTGCTAACTATATCAATCAGGAAAAAAAGACGAAGGTAAGGAATTCCGAAGAGCTTATGTTCAAGGAAAAAAACTTGACAAATAAGAGTTTTTGGAGCACTTAGGAACAGTAACAGAAAAAGGATGAGACTTAATTGAATGACGAGTAACACGAGAATGAATTTTAGTAGATGGCGCACAAGAGACGCTAGCTCTTTAGAGCAGTGCCCATTATAGTATTTGTAGAAAAGAGAAAGAGAAGCAACATTACGACAATGTGACAAAGGTTGAAGGTTGGCTGCAAGAGCAGGTCCAACTATGTTTACAATGCGTTTTTGCACCTTGTCTAAAAGAGAAAGGGCAACATTAGAATATCCGCCCCAGATATGGCAACAGTATTCCATACAAGGTCGGATTTATAGAGATAGAGAATAGAATCCAGAGTAAGATAGTGTCGAGCTCGATAAAGAGAAGCAACTTTAGCAGATGCTAATTTTGCAACGGATTTGATATAAGGTTTCTAAGAAAGATCAGAAGTGAGAGTTAATCCTAGAAGATGAAGGGTAGATGACTCATCGAGTACATTACTGTTCATAAATATAGAAAGGCCTAAATTATTGCGATAACGATTGGCTGAAAAAAATTGAGTTTTATCCTAATTAAAGTTCACCAGCCACTGTGAGCCCCATGCTGTAGCAGAGGTGAGATCCTTTTCAAGCTCAAATGCCCCTTGCAAGCAATCAGAGGGAGTTGGCTTGTAATCGTGACAAGAAAAAATGGTAGTATCATCAGCAAACAATGCCACCTTAAATGTGAGAATATCTGGAAGATCGTTAATGTATATTAAAAAGAGTATAGGGCCAAGGATTGAACCTTGAGGAACCCCTGAGGTTACTGAATAAGAAGAAGAGTGCTGTCCATCAAGGACAACTTTTATAATACGATTGGAAAGAAAAGATTCAATAATCTTAAAGATGTTTCCAGATACACCGTAAGAAGAAAGCTTATGGAGATGACCAGCATGCCAAACTTTATCAAACGCTTTAGTAATGTCAAGCGCAATCGCCTTAACCTCTCCACCTTTATCTAATGCACGATAAACCAGATATTACTGTTAGAAAATCAGCCACAGAACGAGAAGATCGAAATCCATATTGATGATCAGAAAGTAGGTTATGAGATTCAAGATGAGAGATTAAGTGTTTGTTAATTAAAGATTCAAAAACCTTGCTTATGATAGGAAGAAGACTAATGGGATGGTAGTTATATGAATCGGATCGCTCTCCAGAATTTTCATAAATAGGGATAACAGATACTGCTTTCCAGCAGACTGGAAAACAAGACTCTGATAAGCTCTTGTTAAATAGTTTTGAAAGGATAGACGACAGCTTCGGAGAACACTTCTGTAAGACTATAACAGGTATGTTGTCCAGGCCGCAAGCTGAAGAAGAGTCTAAGCAGGAAATCACTTTAGATACAGAAGCTGGAGTGATATGGATGTCAAGCAATGGATCAATCTGTTTGACGGCTATATCAGGTAGAACGCAACTAGTGGAGTCAAGAGATGATATTGATGAAAAGTTCTTAGCAAACAATTCAGCTTTGTCTTTAGGTGAGGTGACAAAGTCTGAACCATACAAAATAGGTGGAATTACAGACTTATTATTGATACTAATAATGATTCTCCAGAAGTCGAGAGAGCCTAACTTTTGTGATGAAATACGAGATTTTATGATCTGAGAATAGCGGGCTTTGGCGTTAGACAAAACCTTTTTACAATGGTTCCTAGCAGTAATAAACAGACGTCTGTTTTCTGGAGAATTGTTTTGTTGATAGATATGGAAGTAATGGATTCGATTGGCAATTGCAGCAGCACAATGCGAGGAAAACCATGGAGAAGAATGAGGCTTGACCTGGAATCGTCGAGAAGGAATAAAGGATTCCATGCCAGCCTGAATCCACGAAGTTATGTAAGAAGCACATTTGTCAATAAGACGAAAGATTTCTACCCAGGGGCTATCATGAAGAAAATCACGGAAAGAGTCCCAGTCAGCTTTAAGGTAGTTGTAAGATGTACGATGATAGGGGGATTCTGATGATAAAGAAGAATGAGATAATAGTTTTAGAGAGACCAAATCATGATCGGATGCACCTAAGGGTGAGTGTGGAGAAACTGAGCACTGACTAGGATCAGAAACAAGAGTCGAGTAGAGAAGGTAAATGATTCGGGTTGTCTGGAAAGCGAGTTGGAAAGTTGACTATTTGAGTTAGGGATTGAGAGAGGCAAAAGTTGTGGGCCTTAACGCCTGCAGAGTCACTGACACTAGAGCCAATAAATTCAAGATAAATCTTCAATCCTGCTTCGGCACAAATTTAAAGTTTCCAGATATAAAAATATCTTATATTCTTAAAATTCAAGTTCAGATTTTTAATACTGCTATGACACAAATCTAAAGTCTTGAAATAAAAAAATATCCTTAAAAAATTTCTTAAGAACTTTCAAGATATCAAGACAGTTAAAACAAAATTTTTTTTTATGAAAAAAGCTGTATAAAAACAGATCATTAATTTTGATTTCATCTTGCCATTTTTCTACATTTTAAAAAAAAAAACTCTTTAAATATTATATGCTAAAGAAAAAAAATGCCCATATGTTTAAAAGCTTAATTGTGTTGAATGTATGGATCTTTAAATATTTTGTGTTATCTGTCAACTTTTTAAATGTGAGCATAATTTTGTTTTCGAACAATAACAATAGTTTGTTTGGTGAGTGTTTTGCAATGTTTACACTTGTTTAGAACATTCTAGGAACTAATAACAGATAAAAAAGTACTGGGATCCATTTACTCTGTTGCTTCATTTTTATTGTTTTATTGCTTCAGCAGGCAATATATTCAAAATCCTATTTTCATTATTTAAATTACTTTTTTTGTTTCAGGGAGATTTTTGTTGTTCCACAGATGATCTTTGTCCAAAAATATCATCACAATGACACAATGACTTGTAATAGTTACTTTACCAAACTGGATGGTTTATTTTAAATTTTATCAAATAAAATAGAAAAAGCTTTTAACCCTTTCACTCCCTGAGACCCGCACAGCGTAACTAATATCGCGATTTTCCCTGTGATCCGCTGTGCGGGTCATTTCAACTTCTACGATTTAAACACGGTTTTATAGCGTTTTTTGTTGTGTTCTTTACAGATATGGAAAATAGAATAGTTATTACATCATAGGCTGAAAACCGTTCGTCAAAATTTATCTTAGTTAAAAAGATATAGCATTTTTAAAAATGGCTAGTTACAAAAGAACTTATTCAAATATGGAAGAAATTTTAAAAATAGTTATGGATGAAAGCAGCGATGATATGGACCTTGGTGAATTATCAGCCGATCAAAGCGAACCTGAAACAGATTGGGAATACGAAGAGGAAGATATAGAGTTTGTGCGAGCTCCTAATTTACCTTTATCTAATGATTTTCAGAATAAAAACTGTTCTTCTTTACCAGAATTTTGTCAAATAAATCATGTTTATAAAATCGATATCGATGAGGAGGAGGAAGAAGAAATTGAACAAAATAGTAGTGAGGAAACATACCCTAATGAGAACAAGGAGACCCTATTCTCTGATCAATTATTTGATTCCACCAGAGAAAATTGTATAGCAGAACAAAAAAGAGTAAAAGTTCGCGGTGGTATTCAAAAAAACAGTGCCAATAATAAAAATCGAATACTTCAAGTTACTAACAGAGGTAAAGAAAAAAAAGGGAATAACAATCGAGGTTGTAGAGGAAGGCCATGGGGTAGAAGAGGACAATCCAATGCTAGAGTTTTAAAAATTAATCAACAGGGAATTGATTTAATATCAACATAGGAACGTGTTAAAATTGATAATACTGCAGATCCAATTATACCTTTTTTTAAACTAGAGGGACTTAGAGTAAGAATGACGCATGAAAATCCTTCTCCTTAAGATTTTGTTGAACTATATCTAACACCTAGTATTATTAAACTTATTGTAATTGAAACAAATCGATATGCTCAAGATTTTAAAGATAAGAACCCGAATAAAGCAAGTAACGAGTATGTAGGAAATTGGGAACTGGTGACTGTTTTAGAAATAAAGAAGTATCTTGCTCTTGTTTTGCTTATGGGAATTATTTATAAACCTGATATTCATATGTATTGGTCTACATCTGAATTTTTTAGCACTCCAATATTCTCAAAAATTATGTCACGCACTCGTTTTCAATTGATTTTGAAGTTTTTACACTTCAACAATAATAATGATCCAAATTATGATGTAAATGACGAAAACCGTGATCGATTACACAAAGTACGACCATTAATTGAACTAATTAGAGACCGATGTAAAAATGTATTCTGCCCCGGACAAAATCTTAGTGTTGACGAATCACTTGTTCTTTTTAAGGGACGGTTGCATTTTAAGCAATATATTCGTACAAAAAGAGCATGATTTGGCATAAAACTATATGAATTGACCACATCAAGTGGAATAACACTATATTTTTTGGTGTATTGTGGTAAAGGTATGTTTTATGAAGACGGAAATGAGGATATGCCCAGCACTGAGAGAATACCAGCTGCACTTATGGAACCTTTTTTAGATAAAGGACATATACTGTTTACAGATAACTACTACACAAGCCCTTCATTAGCAACTTTTCTTTTAGGAAGAAATACACACCTTTGTGGGACAGTTAAATCAAATAGAAAAAAGTACTGTAAAGAAATTGCGGAGTTTGCG